AATCTTATTACATATGAATATATGAATTTATTATTTTTTCCTTAATTTGAATGGTAAATGCTCAAATAAAATTTTAAATAATTTTATTTGTATGAATAAAGTGCATGGTGAGGCACTGTAACGTTTATTTTATGACATTTTATAAAAAAATGTTTGTATATATATATCACTTTATTTCACGCTATTTATATATATAATATTTAAAATTTTAATATTACATTCTTACAATTTATAAAAAAATTTAATATCAAATATATCACTCATATATTTCATTCTTATCACTCATATCATCTTATAAATTTTAATATTTCATTCTATGAATTCATAGTTCTATGTATGGTAGATATGTAATATTAAAATTTTAAATATTAGATATGTAAATAATAGTATAATACTAAATAAAGTGATATATATATAATTGAGACTAAAAAATTGAATTCTGTAAATTTTACCTTGCAAATCCTTCACCTTGGTGTCGGTGGAGATACGGCGACCGGGTATTATGGACTTCCCGCGAAAAAGGAGCCTTCGATTCTGCTCTCTCTCTCTCTCTCTCTCTTATATATATATATATATATATAATTGAGACTAAAAAATTGAATTCTGTAAATTTTACCTTGCAAATCCTTCACCTTGGTGTCGGTGGAGATACGGCGACCGGGTATTATGGACTTCCCGCGAAAAAGGAGCCTTCGATTCTGCTCTCTCTCTCTCTCTCTCTCTCTCTCTCTCTCTCTCTCTCTTCCACTTAAGTCTCTTCGCTTTCTTTTGAGCTCTTCTTCTTCAAATTAACAAACTGCTGCACTCATTTTCCGTTCTGGTAATAGAAAACTCCAACTTAACTTAGCTCAGCCGTCATCAAGGCGCCACCACGACAACAAATCTTCCATTTTTTTTCTTCCGGAGTCATAAAAATTCGATTTTGAATAAAGTTGAGAGCAGTTGAGCTTATGATTTCACCGACGGCGATCACATTTCTTTAATTTCTCTGATGCCGTAGCCGAATGCGACAAATGAACGAGATTTTGGCGGGTTTCTGATACTCTGTCTGATTTCACCTGTAGCTTTTGTTGCATAATATATGGTGGGGATTCTGATTCCTCTGCTGCCATGAGTTTCTAGGGTTTGGTCTGTTATAAGGTGAGTGCACTTATTCCATGGCCAATATTCAATCTTTTTTAGGTTTATTTGATTGTTTTTATGTTCAAGCTTCTTCTTCTTCTTATGCACCTTATTCATATCAAGCTGGGAAAGGGAGAATGGTAGTTGAGAATGGATTCAACGATGAAGAGAAGGGGGAGAGAAATTGTGTTCTTGTTGGTTTCCAAATTGATGGCGATGGAAGAGAATTGCTTGGATGGGCAATCACAAATCTTGCAGAAGAAGGCGACCGTTTGGTGGCTGTTAATGTTTCCAGGAATCAAGGTATTTAAAATACTTCTCCCAAATTCATCAATTGTTGCTTATTATTATATTTATTTATTATGATTTCTTCTATTAGATCTTAGCAGAGCTGGAACTCCCTCTTTGATTAAAGTTTTAGATGATTGCCTGGCTGAGCATGAGGAGCTCTGTAGGAGGAAGAAGGTAAATACATAATGAATTCAACCATGTGGAGATCTTGTTATACTTGTACTGATAGATTTGCTGCAACTTTTTCTGTTTTTGAAGGCAAAGCTAATTAATTCTCTTTACTGGCTATGCTGAGTTCTGAATTCTTAATGTTTTGAGATAAAAAACAAAGTTTAATCCTTGAACTTCTAAGAAATTGAAGTATAATCTTCAATTTGCTTTTGTTTCAGATCATTCTTGCAGGCCGAGTCGCCCGGGGAAGCTCAATTAAGAAAGTTTTGGTGAAGGAAGCTGAGATTTGTTTAGCTAAGGCTGTGGTTGTTGGAGCAAACAAGAACTTCTCTTTAGGGTTAGTTGTTAAGAAGATTAGAATCCTATTTATATTATTTTATTTATTAGTATAGTCATGTTTTTTTTTTTCAACTTTCTTGCAGAGGTTATGCTTCTCTAGCTAAGTATTGTGCCAAGAAGCTCCCTTCAACCATTGCTCTGATTGCAGTTCACAAAGGGAAAATAATCTTCGAAAGGGCGGGAGCGGCGGCGGCGGCTAAACCACTCTCAGGTATCATATTTTTGTCTGATAATTATCTTTTGCCTATAAAAATTGAATTTTTATAAACTAGTCAGTAACAGGAAGAGAGCACAAACCAAATCTCCGAAGCTTCTTGCATCCCAGTGTTGGTATGGATGCTGAAGTCATTGAACCGATTACCCGATCTAAATCAGATGTGAAGAATCCAAAACTATACAATTTCGGAGACAAAGTTGTGAAGCGGATCAGAAAAGAGTCAAGGAATTACTGCCTTCTTGATCATGAGAAGATGAGAGAAAGAAATGTAAGTTCAATTTCAGTACTAGTTAAAAAGTTACCAGAAGCAAAGCCTGGTTGGCCGCTATTGCGCAGAGCAGTGACAGCAAATATAGAGGCATTGAAGGGAAGCGAAGCTCGAAAAATGTCTGTGATCCATTGGGTCATGAAGCTCCCTGATAGATCTTTGCCTGCTACACAGTCACAGTTTGATCTAGTTAAAGAGCTCGAAATAATTCTGGAAATGAATTCTTCTTTTTGCAAATTTTTTCAGTACGAGGAACTGCAGAATTATACCAGCTACTTCTCACCAGGTTTTGTTTCTGTCACATAAATCTCACTTTTGTATATCAATCTAGTTTATCAAAAGAAGAAAGATTAATTTGATCTTCAGTACATAAACAGAAAATCTGATTGGGAAAGGAGGAAATAGCCGAGTATTCAAGGGCAGCCTTTCTGATGGTCAGCAAGTGGCTATAAAATTATCAAAGTTATCTGAAGAATCATCAAGAGATTTTCTTCTTGAGGTAGATATTGTCACCAGGCTTCAACATGATCGAGTCGTGCCATTGATTGGTATCTGTGTTGAAGATGACAATCTTCTTTCAGTATATTCTTACTTCTCTAGAGGAAATCTGGAAGAAAACCTTCATGGTGAGATATTATTGCCATTCCTGTTGTGAGAGATTTTACAGCTTCACAAAATCTATTTTTTTTAATAAACTTGGCATCAAAAGCATTAATATGGAATGAACTTCAATTGAAAATAGTTAAAATTAAGCTCTTATTGTTTTAAATTGAATCTGACAGATAAAAGAGCCAAGGCTGCACTAGATTGGGACAGGAGGTTTAAGGTTGCGGTTGGAATTGCCGAAGCGCTTAGCTATCTACACGACGGCTATTTGCGTCCCATAATTCACAGAGATGTCAAGTCCTCTAACATCCTTTTGTCAGATGATTACAACCCACAAGTAAAATACTTCATAATGTTTAATACCTTTTTGTAATAGAAAACTGATTTTGGGACTCAGCAGAAGGAATTGAAGCTTTTTGGTTGGTTAAGAAAATTTTTTTTAGTGGTTATAGCTTTAAACCTTCATGATTTTTCTTTTTTAAATTTGGGGATGACAGTTATCAGATTTCGGCTTAGCCATATGGGCACCTACTAATGCACCATACCTAACTCATAGTGATGTTGTTGGAACATTTGGGTATGTTAGATTCTCCAATTGAAATTCTGATTGATTTTATTTCTTTGAAGGACATTGTTTGTCATTAGATCCTGAAAAAATATTTTGAAAATGAGTAATTTTGCAGATATTTAGCTCCTGAGTACTTTATGCATGGAAAAGTCAGTACCAAGGTTGATGTTTATGCGTTTGGAGTGGTTTTACTAGAGCTGCTGACAGGAAGAAGACCAATCAATGATGACAGCCCCAAAGGGCAGGAGAGTTTGGTTATGTGGGTAAGAAGTTCTTGTCCTCTGAATTATTATTTCCTATGATGAATTCAAATCAATTTCTAGCTTGGCCTTAATAGCTTGAATATAGTTTGATATGGTTATTTTATGATTTGCATTCTTATTAGGCCACACCAATACTAGAAAGAGGAGATATCATGGAGATTATCGATCGAAATCTGGATGGAAAGTATGAGGAGGTTCAGCTGCAAAGAATGATAATGGCTGCTTCACTATGCATCAGAAGGGCAGCTCGTCGCCGGCCTCAGATGCACCAGGTATCACTCTTCTCAACTTCATATGATTAGCATGTTGATAATTATGAACATGCAAAGATGTAAATGTTGCAGGTTGTTAAAATTCTGCAAGGGGAAGAAGAGATTAAGCCATGGATGAGTTATGATGTTAACAACAATCTGACAGAACAAGATTGGCAAGATGATGAAGCATATCCAGCTTCAAGCATTGGATCACATTTAGGCCTTGCACTGCTTGATGTGGATGATGATGCTTCAGTAGTGAGCTTTGAGCAGAACAATCTCAAATCATTGGATGAATACCTTCAAGATAGATGGAGTCGCTCCACAAGCTTTGATTAGCTTCTTTCGTGGTTTCTGATCAAACTGTTCTTTTAGTTTAGTATTGCTATATGAACCAAATAATTTACACACAAATTGGATGGGGCTCGTCTTTGGTTTGGGAGGATCAATCAAAATGAGAAACAGTGTTGATTGATTCACTAAGCTAACTGAAGATTATTATTATTTTTTTTTGTGTAAATTTTTCTGGTGAGTAAAGCTTTGCTGGTTTTCTTTTTTTGTACAGTACATAATGGGAGCTCTGTGAGCTGGAAATAAATTGTATATGGAAGATAAAGGGCAAAAAAAAAACTGTTTTATCTTATTATAGTGTTTTTTTTGTGATCAGCATTGCTCTATGATCTCATATGCGGGGAATGTGGACCTACTTCAGTCCTTTTTGCTCAAAGTTCTCGTGCAATAAATGTTAACAAAAAACTTCAAATACTTTCCTTTGCAATAGTCAAAAGGCAAATAGTACAAAGATAACTTTAAGCTATTATTTTCAAGACATTCAACTACAAACTCACACGCCATAAAAACTTGGCAAATTATTATGTGCGGAGTTCGGATGTCGTTCAGAGACCAATAAAAATGTGCCACGTCACCCTAAACATGTACCTTGCTCGGTACCGAGTATCGAGCAGGATACCGAGTGGTACCAAACGTCGGTAGAACCGTTCGGTATCTGCACAGAATAATCTCTCATAAAAACTTACATCACTGACCTGCAAACTTTGCAGAAAATAATTTGGAAGATGATAAAAATCGACAGTAGGCTCGCTGTTAGTTGAAGAGTTGGTTGCAGGATGGCCCAGGAATAGACAAGATGAGCATATAGAACATGCTCCATCACTTTCTATTATTTTATTGAAATATTTCAAAAGCAAATGATTTGGAAGGAAAATTTAATGATAAAAGACAAACTTACTATGATAAGTGGTGAATAATATACCATCTCAAACTGTTCTCCTCCATACCGGTAACTTTTAAAACTGCCGTTAAAGCCCATGCGCACTTCTATGAATATAATTACAATTTCCCCTGACAAGAAAAACAAGAGAGAGCAGCCATGTTTCCACTTCCTCTCTGAACGTCAAAATGGAATAACTGATAAATATCGAACTCAGGCAAATAGCAGGCATGGGATTGCGAAGAACTTGTGAAGATTAAAACTTTGTTTGTGACGGATTTCTTACTGTTTTTCAAAGTAATTTTTTAGTAAAAAAATAAAATTTTTGTACTAAAAAATTGCTTTAAGAAGCAGTAAAAAGCGGTCCCAAACAAAATCTAAACTAACTTTGTGATCAGGCTTGCTAGCTTTGCAGCTTGTGGTGAGATTGCGGTGTGGGGATCTAGGCAGCACAAACAGCCAATCTTGTGAGCCAACATTAAGATCGTATGACTGCAATGATGAAGGATTCCAGTTCAATATCAAATCATTGAAGTATTTCCCCAATTCCAGGCAACTGCCACAGCTACTAGATATGAAGTCAGTAGCAGCAAGTCCTTCAGGCATGAGGGTTTCTGTAGCCGACCAGAGAAACAAGGGTCCTCATTTGCTTGCGTTGAGCGCAAATCCTGTTGTTTCACCAATGTTTTCTCTTTAGAATAGGAAGCATCTTTTCTAGCTGAACTTGGTCGAATAATATTGGTTACAGCCACAGCCTCATAAGAATAGCAGGGCTCTGTGTTTGTATTCCCTGCAGTCACTGATTGTCACAACCCGGCTAGTCCAAATTGACGGGGCGGGAACAGAAAGTCGTACGGTAACACATAAAATTTCATTCATAAACAAACACATACAAATGGTCATCCAACTTCAATTAAAAAAAGAGCCACTAAACATCAAATTTGAAAGTTGCAACAACATCAGAAATAACAATTTAAAACATAACAATACCTCAGAAAGTCCCCTATACATAAACTTTCACATAGACTAACAGTAGATACATAGACTAACAGTAGACACATAGACAACCATAAACACATGCCATTCGATCTGGGATCCTCTACGACAGTAGGTAATCAGTCTTTCAGTCATCACTCTCTAGCAATCTCTCCTGAAAAACATTCTCCTAATCTGTAATTTGCTGAATAATCCATTTCCAAATTTGATGTTGCTTTCAGTTTTGTAGTTTTTTCCTCGTGCTTCAATAAGATATTTCTGATCTCTTATTATACTGCTTATGGTTCATGTGATTAAAGGCCTTCTGGATTTGACCTGTCAAATTGTGGCAGATATGATTAAGAGGAAAACTCCTAAAGTGATTCGTAAGGCCCTTAACATCAAGAAAGACTATACCTTCGAGGAAAATGAATGGGCATTTGAGGAGGAGATTCAGAGGGAGAATCAATGAGCATTTGATGAGGAGATTCGAAGGGAGAATCAATGGGCATTTGAGAAGGAAATTCCATTGAGGAAAAGACTAGTAATGGACTTCTGGTTTCTCTGTATTACTTTGATTATGCTTGTTGTTCTTTGTATTCTATCACCATTTTCGTTTGATCGTCAAGTTAGTTTTGCTTAGGCAAAAGTTGCAATTGAAATGACAGTTTGATGGACCCTCAGACCGTATTGTAACGCAGTAGCTGCTTAAGTGAGAGAGAGATTCTAATTGTTATCCATTCTAGAAAACATGATATAACCTTAAGCTAATTTAAAAAACAATAAAAGGGTAATCTCAAAGGAAGCCTATATCAGGAGATCCTATATCTTAATATAATTTTATTATCAGTATAGCTATTATGTATATTGTAAATATGGATGGCTTTTTGTGGCCAGGGATTAAAAGATCAATCATCAAACTTTCAACATTACAATCTACTTTCCTTTATGAAGTTTCTCTTGTTGTTAATTGAACCTGACAAAATACTATCGCATGATTTATGTTAGGCGATGGGCTTCTTTTTTTTAATAATATTGCTCAATTGAACTATGGTCTCATTTGAGATGTGATATTATTGTGAGAAAATTTTTAAAAAAAGAAGTAAGATAATTTTTTTTTCTTGCTATTACATTGTAGCAGATTCAGTAGTGAACAGTTTTTTATCACATAAACTTTTGGGAAAAAAAATTATATTGAAATAAAAATGTTATTGATACGTCATGCAAAAATTATCTTGATTGGGCATGAATCTCGAGGCAAAAATCAAGTTGGAAACTTCAAAAATTAAATCCGGGAGCACCTGAACTCCGATTTCAACGAGCTTACAGTCAAACTGAGCGTCCCGGAAATACAAACCCAACGACACCAAATTCAACTCAATCTGAGCCCAAATGAGCCCAAATGAGCACCCGAAGCGCTGTTGGAAAGTTCGTACCACAATTTGAGTTGCCAAACAGTCTCCGATTTTGACGAGCTTATAGTCGAGTCGAGCGGCTTGACGAGACAAATCCAACGAGCCCAAGATCAACGAATTCTGACATCACTAAGGCCTTCAAATGTCCAATGAACGGTGCACGATTGAAGGATTCAATATCAGCCGTCCATTCGACCACTCCCTATTTAACCATGATCTCACACCTATTTTACGGGCTATGCCACTCCCAAAAAACTATAAATATACCCCTCATTTCTCATAAGAGTGGACTGAAGCAAAGAGAAGAGAAGAATAAGAAGAGAAAAAGAAGAGAAGGGGAAGGAGAATCAGCTCCTCCTCGACCACCGCCGGAGTTCTTCCCGCCGCCCGAACACGCCGGGATTCTGCGACTTATTTGGGAGAACGCCGGAATTCTGCCCAACTTCCAAGTGATGCTGAAATTCTTCCCAATTAACGACAGAGTTCCCTCCTGACGCCGAAACTCCGCCCAAGTGATGCCGTAGTTCTCCTCATCCACCAACAGACCTCGAACTTCTACCTGACGCCGGACCTTCACTCTTCGCTAAGTTTCTACCCGACACCGGACTTCTACCGGTTATCGGACTTTCGCTGGACTTTTATTTGAAAATGGATTTCTTCCCATTGTTAGACTTCTCCCTCACGCCGTCCTTCTGACCTTCATCGCGAGACACAGTCCTTTCGACCTCCGTCGCCAGCCGACTACGATTCTCCTGGCTTACGTCGTCCGCCGACTACAGTCCTTCCAACAAAACGAATACGTCAACAGTAACTCTTTGTATTCCTAACATGTAATGTACTTCATATAATATACATCAAACCCATGCCTTCCTCAAAGGAAAGGCCTCATTTGTAATCGACTACAATACTAGTGGATTCATTCAAACTGGGCCAGGCCCCATGGTTTTTCCCCCTTTTCAGGGGTTTTTCACGTAAAAATCTTGTTGTCTCATAAATGCTAGACCCTCTCTCTTATCTTATTGCGTGCCGGATTTTCGTACAACACTAAGACGATAAACTTTATATTTCTCTACCACCGCGAATACTCCTGGACGCAACAGTTATAACTTTAGAATAAATTGATATATATTTTTAAATGATATGGAAGAATGATAAATGATATATTTTGATTAAAATTATCTCCATTTCTTAGAAAAAAAGAAATGACGTCCACCACATATATTATGATATGAGATTACCGGATAGCATAAAATATAAATTTTATTTTTCTAAAAATGTTTAATTTAGACTTTTTGATATTATATTTTAATTAATCTATGTACAAAAAAAAAATTATGAACAATCAAAGTAAGAGCCAAAAAGTACTTTTTAATATAATATCATAATATAAAAGGTAAATCTCAGATTACAAATTTTTTTAATTTAAACTTCAAATATTTTCAATAATAGAATTTAATATATATAATGTGCTTTTAAAAAAACATTTAAATAAAATAATTTCGATTGTGTGAGATTTAAGTTATATTTGATTTGCAATCATTGTAAAATTATTATATGAAAATAAAAAATTTTGAAAAGTAATTGTTTTTTAATAAAATAATAAGTTTCTTAGATTTAATCATAAAACAATTAGTTGTTAAAAAGCTAACTAAACGGTGCCTTATTCCGCAGGTGCCACACTGTAAGTTCCGCTAAGTGCCCTCTTATTTCACTGTATAATTCCGCGTTACGCGCTTACTCAATATAATCCATTTAGGCGCCAATGAAAACTACTTTAGATTTATTATAACCGGCCTGACAACTTACCGCTCTCGTTTTTAACTATCTTTCCTCCCCGTCTATAAATAACCCTACCTTCCTAATCACGTTTGCGCTCTTCTCCACCTTTCTCAAACCCTAGCCCTAGTTTATTTGCTCGAGCAAATCTTGTATTTCTTTTCTCCCCCTCTTTTCCTTTTACAGTTGAGGTGTATTTTTGCTTCCGTACTGTGTGGAGCTTATCCGAATTGGAGTTGGATTTCGAAGGAACTATGTCTCGGTGCTTCATTTTTCCGTCTTCGGAGATTTCGAGAAATGATGCTTTGCAGGTCGGATTGATCAAGGTATGTTGAGCATAAATGACGATGTAATTAATAAATTAAATCTCATGCTCGACTCCTTGTTGTTGATCACTTCTTGGGATTCTCTTCTGATATGGAATAATGACGCATTAATGTATGGACATTTTTATCATATGTAAATCGAGAACTAGGAAATAATGATAATCTGCAATATTATGTTTTTAATATTTGGCTTCCTATGCTTTTAATTACCCCTTTAGTGAGTCGTGTTTTAGATTTTATATGAAATTTCATTATGATTTATGAGGAGCATGGAATTTTTTAAATTCCCCTATGCTGATCGATACAGTTAATGGTTCTTAAGGTGAAATCTGGATTAGGGTTCTAACTTGATTGAATCAACTTTGTATTGACCGGTGTTGACTTTATACACTGGTGCACATGCTTCATTTGGTTTTAGCAAGAAGCCTATAGAAAGCATCCAGGTGCTGATTAGATGAGATCCATTGATTTGAGTTCTCTTGAATGAAATTTGCTTATATGTAGCATCTATCTAAGAATGGCGAATTACTGTTTTTTCTGCATTGATGGATTTATCGACCCCGTCTATTTTCTTAGGTTTGCTTTCTGACTTTTAATTGGATTTACGCTAAATCCAGCCAATCGGTTTAATAGCGCGCATTAAATCCCCGGATTCAGTAAATTCCGGATTTACGGATTTACGCCTTAATCCGGGATTCAGTAAATCCCTCGGTTCGGCGGATTTACGAGATTTTGCCGAAAAAGCGCGCGAAAAAGGAGAAAGTTACATTCACAGCCAGCGAGTTCCCGTTGTTTCTTCCGATCAAAATGTCGTAACTTCCGATCCGATAGGAAGGAAAAGTCGTCCAAGGAGCGAAGTCGAACAGCAACCAAGGAGCCGAAGAAGCAACTCGTGCAAATGTGCAACCTCAAAACCTCCCGTAAAGAAACGAAGTCTAATAACGACGACGAAAATAGAAGATGAAAGGCAAACCCTTATTATTTATTAACTTAATTAATATAATTTTAAATATTAATAATTAAGTAAATAATTAATAGTATAATTTGTTCATAAATTGACATTAGATTAGTTTAATTTTTAACTAATTAATTAAATCATTACAAAAAAAAATTTACATTTTCAAAAAATATTTAACTAATCAATACCAATTTGACATTTGCTTTTTATTGAATTTTCAGGAATATTGTATGAATTCAAATTGGATGCATTAAGTTTTATGCAATGAACTTGATCACCCAAATATCTCCTTTAATTTTAAATATCTAACTATCATAAATTCTAAAATATGTTACCAAATAGTTTCTGAGAATTTAACATGATTTATCATTTTACATACCAAACAATTTTTAGGATTTAACCCTTCCGGGATTTACTAAATCCGAATTTATAGGATTTACTAAATCCCACAAAAATTAAATCCCACTTAGTTGACAAAAAGCCCTTAAGAGAGAGAGTGCTGAGCCAAGTTTTATTAGCTAAAACAAATCCTTAGTATATTTTTTACATTTATTTTGACATTAATACTCTCTCTCTCTCTTTCTCTCTCTCTCTATTTCTTTAATAATGACAACAATTTTTTAGAAATTAGATAATTATAATTTTAATCATACTATATTATTTATTAAATATCTTTTGCACACAATCTTTTTAATATTATAAAAAACATTTAAAGTAAATTCCTTTAAAAGTTAACTACCAATACCAAGGCTTCATTTGGAACAACTTTCTTACTGCTTTTTAAAATAATTTTCTAATAAAAAATTAAAATTTTTTACTAAAAATTGCTTTAAAAAATAGTAAGAAATTAGTCCCAAACAAAGCCTAAGATTTCGTCAAGAACACCTTTCTTACCATTTTTAAAAACAACTTTTAAAAATTTATGTACTAAAAATGATTTAAGAAAGCAATAAGAACTGTCTCAAATAAAACCTAAATATATTCCTCACTAGCAATACCACTTGCTGAACCATTACCCTAAAAACAAACACCACTTGCCTTCTAATCATCTAACAGAGAATTTCTGATAAATATTTCTTAAACTAAAAATTTTTATATTAAAAAATTCCTTTAAAAATCAATACCAAAACTATCCCAAATTGTTTCAAAAGTTTAAAAGAAAACAAGAGAAAATTGACACCAAACATAACACAAACCTTAAAAAAAAAACCAAAGATCAAGACTGCTCCAGTTAGTTTAAAAGATCTGATCAGCTCCGAAATTAATGAGCTAGAATCATGCAATATAGAATATCAGAAAAAAATTTTTGATGAACTAACAATTTACATGACACAGTTCTCAACAAGCTTGGTTGAATACAGGGTTTGAACTTTACATCTTAAAAAAATTCATTAGAAAGAAGTAAAAGCTAATTGCAAACAAGTAATTAAGCATTTCAAACATAATTAAGCTGATCTTAATATGCCATTAGAATGAGAGAAAGCTCTGCACAGAATAGAACAGGCAAAAAAACCAAGTCGTTACTCAAGGAGACGAAACACAGTGATCTCCTGTTGCTTGAAATATCGGCGATCTTCCTCATCAACAAGAACAAGATTCAGATAATACTTCACACTGTATTTGTTGTTAATGTTGCGATAGGTTGGTGTCAACTCATATGGGCTCAAGAACAATCTGATAGGTATGGATTCCCCTACAAAAATAAAAATGGTTAGCTAAAGTTGGGGCTCGGGCTCGGGTGACTCGAAATATGGCTTGTCAGGATAGCTGAATAAGTTAACGAGCCAAATTTGAGCCAATCACTTCTTACCACATGAGCCGGCTCATTTAAAAAAAAAATCAATATAAAATACAATAAAAATATATTAGAATTCAAAGGGTGCACAAAATTGCTAAAAATCTTTTAACATTACATCTCTTCTTTATATAAAATGAGCTCGAACTAATAGAATTGAGCTTGAACTTGAATTCAAACTCGAACTTCAAGTTAGAGGTGGCTGGAGCTTGACTCAACTCATTAACACCCAGTGACAACAACCGATCATAACAAGCAAATGTTTTATAGAAATCGCTAGTAAACATGTTTTTTCAGTCTGTCCTCAGAATTTTCATAATAAGTTTTACCAGGCATAAGGAGTACCTTTGGTGAACAATTGCAGGTTCAGCTAATCAACATAAACACAAATGAAGATATTATCCTGATTTCTCGTATGAGATATTTGTATTTCTCATCATATAGAACACTAGTAATTTTCTTTTAAAAAAATAATAATAATTTGGGAGAGCTTCGTTGAGGATTAGGCAGTTCAGTTGCCCAGAGATTCATTAGAACAGATTACAAGAAAATCTTCTTGAAATGACAAAAGGTAGGTTGCAACATAAAATGAAAAAAAAAAAAAAAAAAAAAATTTAAACATTTTCAAAGTTTTTTTTTTGTTTTTTAGGGAGGGACCCGTATGGTCCTATTAGGGGGCAAATTATTATGTCCGGTCATCGGACCTAGAAATAGGTCCGGACATCCACTAAAAATTTGCCACGTGGACTGCGCTTTGATTCAAAAAAGCGCAGGTAAAGCGCAGGTAAAACGCAGTAAAAAAAAGTGCAGTCAAAGCGCAGTCCACGTGGCAAATTTTTAGTGGATGTCCGGACCTATTTCTAGGTCCGATGACCGGACATAATAATTTGCCCCCTAATAGGACCATACTTAGAAGAAACGTGATCCAACAAAAGTTGAGGTTTCATTTGGTTCAATGTAGAAGGAAAGTATGTTTTAGAAAATGATTATTTCATTGTCATTCATTTTTGAGTGAAAATTAAAATTCTTATTTTTGAGGAATTTTAAAGATGTTTGTAACGTTGAAAATCAATATTGGAACATAAAAAAATCATCAAAATATGTTTTCTAACTTTAAAGAACCAAATAAACCGCTAAAAGTAGGTCTGGCATTAATACCTCTTACAGGCGCTCCATCCATCAATTCAAATTTTGCAAGGGTTTCAGTCTCCACATATGTATTCGGCCCGGATCCAGTTGATTCCCGACGTCTAATCTCAAGTTCCATATTTTTTATCTTGATTCTCACCAGAAGAAAATATATTTTGCCAATAATGACATCTTTCAAATGATACCTGATAAAATCAACTAAAATTAGAATACAAAAATAAGGAAACATCTACAAAGTTGGTAAATATGACTACAAGCACCATCATGGCATACAAATAAATCTTACTTGCTTTTATTGTACTCAAATTCAATGTGCAAACAATCTTCAATTCCAACTTCCATCTGCAAAAATAGCCATAAAAATCAATATACAGCTAAATGAAGTAAGCAAATTAAGAGCAAATAAACACAGTCAAGTTATGAAAATAGGCACAAAAGGCAGTGAGTATCAGCATGCTGTAAATGGGAAACGAACTTCATAAACACTGCATATTCAGGATGGAAATTGAGTGATTAGCTTATCAGGTTTCAGAGCCAAACAGTGCTCAATCCATTCATTTCATCCCAGCCAATTCAAAATTAAAGGATGTTTACCATGAAACAAGTTTGAGTAACTGTACGGTAAATGGATGACGCAAATCCATTTTGAGAAGTTTGGAAAGTGGCTTATTCCCAAATATGTTTAATCAAAACATGAATTGCGTTGCATTTTTCAATAAAATTGCGAGATTACTTCCACGTGAATATAGGACCACTCATAGTACACGGAACCAACCTTCGCATTTAGAGAAAAAAGTTAAATTAAGCATCACCAATATTAAAAAAAAATTTAAACCAGGCCGCAAAATAAGTGTCAAGCAATAATTCATGCCCAAAACTTTTATAGTAAAGAAACTCGAACATTGTGATCAAAGCCCTACATGAGGTCTTGGTTGGGTACACATTGGGTACCCATGTTTTACTTGGATGGGCTTCGCCCACCCACACCCACCCATGATGACTTTCGGGATTTCGAACCCACCTATACCCATCCACTTTCCATGTTTTTTGAATACAGTCTGCCACGGACTGATAGCCTTGAGGCTTGTTGTCATTTGCTATGATGACAAACTTTCAAGTCGCATATCAAAATTTATCGTACTCGTATCGTGGTTAAGTGATGCACAATACGTAGTGATGATTGCAGTAGTACAAGTAAGATATACGGTGATTAACAATGTAAATCCATTTATCCCTCAATATTTAGTAACCACCCATATCCACCCATAAGGCCATGGGCGTACCCATACCCACCCATACCCATTGATATGGGTAGGTACATGGGTGGGTGTGAGTATGGGTACCCAATGCAGGACTCTGATTGTGATACCTAATCACTATTTATACTTCTTGTTGGGTAAAAACAGTAACTACTCAAACATGTGAAGCACTTAGAGTTAATCTACTCGTTTGTTGGTATCAAAATGGATGCCATAATCTTGGATCGGAGCCCTTAGCATTGCTCAATACCACGATAAGAAAGAATAAGAAAGAATCTTCGCAAAAAAAAAAAAAAAAAAAAAACTTGCAAGAGGATATATACAAGCACATACAACGTCTAAAAAATAACAAGTATAAATAAAAATAAAAATATTACAAATAATAATACTAAATAAATAAATAGTTTTATGTGTGTGTGTGATTATTTGTTTGTATATATAAATGTATATGAGTCAAAATGCCCTGCTGAGCTCCATCATGATGCCTGTATCAACGACAACTAGCACTTCGAGTAAAGAATCCATCAATGCCAACCTAATAGTAACCTCAAAAAATGATATTAAAAAAATAAATAAAATGTTAAAAAAAAGGTAAACCGACTTGGGATGTGGGACACAGCCAAGCAACAAAATAAGTTTTCCTAGCTTCCCAATAGAAAAATTATCCTTAAAAAGCCTCACCGAAGCCCCCCTTCCTCTCCCTCTTTCTTTCCATTCACATGCTCTCTTCCCACTTCCAACGGCTGCTAGCTGGCCATTTATGCCTGTCAATCTCTCTGCCTTCCCTCTCAATCTATTCGTAAGGTAATTCAGGATCTCCTCCAACAATATATTTTAAAAAATCACGTGCATAAAATGCACTCTTTATTACTTCTAACCAAATTTATTGAGTGTTGAATGACATTTTTAGGCCGATGTCCTACTTCAACTATCTCATCGCAAGGTGCAGAAGCTTTATTAGATTTAACTTAAAATTTTGAAATGTAAAAATTGAAATAAAATGATGCAAAAAAAAGGAATAAAAAAGGAACGTAATTGAAGTGTAAAAATTAGCCAGCGAACAACACATAAACATGCAAAAAAAATTGCATCGATTTAAAATAACGAACAAATTGGACCAGCCTAAAGTTTGGTGACTCAACTAAAGAAATAAGCAAGAAAAACTCACTATTTATTTGATCGCTATAAAGTCAAAATTCAATGAAAATAACATGCGTGGCTGCTTTCCTTGTATGCACAAATGTTCTCACCATAAAACCCTCCTAACTATATTTTCGAATAAAAAAGAAATAAGATTGATATATTTAAATAGTTCCTAAATTTTGTGTTGTAGTCATGTGCGCATATACGAACTTGAGAATAAAACAAATGAACAAATGATAAATGTACGAAAAAGCATGCAAGAAAGTCAAAATATTAAATCTAGTGCACAATTTAATGAAATGTTGTCACTAATGAAACACAAGGATTGGAATGTGAATGGCTTAAAATGAAATACTAAGCCTTTTGATGAAAATCAAATATAAGCTAAATCAAACCCAAATAATGTTCAAGATAGCTCTCTCATCACATCCTTTGTCACACCGTGACATGCATACTCAAACAAATTAATAAGTCAAAGGATGCTCATAATATATTGAGATATTTTACAGAGAAAATGAACAAAAAAAAAAAGAAATGAAAAGAATATAAGAAATAGATTAGATAAAATAATCTAAAAAATATGGAAAGTACCAAAAAATAGAAAAATTTTCAAAAAAAAAATTATTTTGAGTCTCAAATCTTCTTATGGCATATTGAGGCACTCGGGTTAAATTTTCTCACCCATAAAAACATGAAATCCTTCACAAAAATACAAGAAACAAAAAAAAGGTAAATAAACTTTAAGATTATAAAACTAATTTCATCCGGATTCAACACTTGTGAGTGGAGTCGATAGGGTCACATTCCACCAATCATCCAAATTATAAATTTATAATTACAATTCTTTCAACCCTTGTTGAAACAATTATTTCAACTATGGATTGGGGATCAATAATTCCATTGAGTTTCACCCAAATATTTGATAATGATTTGCATAAGGCCTTCTATGGTGGAAGCGCATTTAAGGAAACTATATGAGCTCGCTTACCTGGAGAGCAGAGTCGGGCCTTCCTAAAATTGCTAGGGTTTAAGCCCCAATCCCCAATGTAATTTGCATTACATATTAATATTGAGAAATTAAATTCATATGTTATACATAAATAGAGTCGCTCCATCCTAATACTCTACAAACAAATGGCATAGTAAGCATGGCTCCCAATCATTAACGACTATCAAAACAAAGTAGAAAACTTCTCATCCTCAATCAAATCTATCTTGTCCACAAAAAACCAAAACCAGCCATTGGCGGTCACGATTGATTATATGATGCATGCAGGTTCTCTATAGATTTCATATGCTGGAACATTAAAGTATTATCCAAATTTGAAGAAGAAAAATCAATATTGGAACTTAAAATAAAATGTGGTTTTATGCCAACTGGTATGGGAAATATTTGCCTTGATTTGTGTTCAAATAACATGATTACCATGCTACAAAAAGAGAATATCAAACGGAACTTATAAGTGCTTTTGAGGACTCACCCTAGTGATGGGTTTATTTATCAATATATTACAATCAAAATGGATCACCCTTAAAGTCAAGCTCTCTATCATAAACAAAAATAATTTGAACGTTCTCCATAATGATGGGCACAATCATTATCATAAAAATCCCCCTCTCAAATGTCAACAAAAATACATTTAGAGCTCTTTTTTTTTATGATGTATATAGTCATTCCAAATCATAAACAAAGGATATTATATCTAAATATAGGCCTTACAAACAATAAATATATATATATATGGCTAAAAAAAGCTTAAGCACTAATAATTTACATTGCACTTAGAGCAATCCATCCTCTACACCAATCTATCAAAGATGACCATTTTAAATTTGATTAATCTCATAATGAGACAATGTCATATTAAATGTATCGATGTGGCCACATTTTTATCTCACGCCAATAAAGACACGACACATGACTCCTGGCTAGGCGGTTAGCTTGATTGCCACAACAACATTGTATTACAGTTACAACACAATCCCTAATGTTCTCAAATGGCCAAGGCCATCATGAGTGAGTTGTGAATTGTGATTCATAAAGTATACTCGATAGGGCATGAAGCCCTCTATAAGCCAAAGCCAATTTAAAATCAACTTTTTTGATAAGATTTCCCCTAAGTCTATGAGCCCCCCTTACATGGCATACTCCATGGTTCTTGATAAGAATTTTTCGACCATGTTGGATGAACTTCCTCCATTTTCTAGGTAAACGAGTGTCTATTAAAATCTAGGACTACGTCATCATAAGAACTAGACCGATTTTGACATACTTTCTCCTCATATAAACTCGGAGCCATATATTCTTGCCTCCAATCTAGATTGTTGGCTAACAAAATAAAACATCATAAAGCCTAGTAATTGAAAGGGTTGGATTACCTATAGAGGCTTATGCCTGTAAAAAATCGTGAAACAAATTATATAATCATTTATGAGGGTGTAATTTATGAGCCATGTCTTACCTTTATCCAACCTATCGTATAAAAATCAACATGGATACAAACTCTTTATACTCTTAATGATAGAGCCCAATACAGATTCAAAGGCCACATCATTACATTATTGCTTGATGTTATAAGATGAGAACATGCATATTCTGGGATGGGTACCAACCTTGATGCTGTTGTTGATTGTAGGAGGGGCTGAATAATTGCGCACCTGAAATTAAAAAAAAAAATTAAATAACATAATAAAAAATGCTAAATAATTGATATCTAGAAAACACAACTTGTAGTATCACTACAAACTTCCAACAAACAACAACAACATTAAGCCTTTATTCCACTATGTGGGGTCGGCTACATGATTCCTTTTTCTCCATTGTGCCCTGTTAAGAGTCAAATTCTCATTTAAATCTAATAAAGAAAGGTCATTTCTAATATTTTCTAACCAAGACTTCTTAGGTCTACCTCTACCTTTCTTAACATAAGCCAAATATAATACATCTACTCTCATAATCAGGTCATCGGAAGGCCTTCGTTTTATGTGATCAAACTATCTAAGGCGACTCTCTAATCTTATATGCCATTGGAGCTACTCCAACCTTTTCACATATATGCTCGTTTCGTATCCTATCTCTAAGAATAAAGCCACTCATCTACCTATGCATCCTCATTTCCGCAACACTTAACTGAATATCATGTTTCTCTTTTAATAGTCAATATTCTACGCCATAAAGCATTGCAAGTCTCACCAGCATCTTACAGAATTTTCCCTTAAGTTGGAGGGGTACTTTTCTATCACTACAAACTTCGATGTCAAAAAATAAAATAAAATGAAGTGTATCAAGTATGCATCGGTCACAATTCTTTTCTTTGAGTCAATAGAGTGAAGTTGTGGATGGATGAGCGTTGAGTCAATGCGTGAGACCAGCACTGGCAGAACTGGCCATTTCAGCTGGTTCAATTCATGTTAGTCGTTGGTAAGGTAATGGTGAACATCTGCTTAACCCAATATTGATTCAATAACATTGGCATTGGCTGGTCAGTTTCATAATTCTATGCATACCGGCCAGACTACATAGCAAATTTGGTGACTATTCAATCGTCAAAGAACATTAGGCCAAGCATGGCAGCCTGGCAGATTGATTTGATGCTTCAAGCTTAAATCCTTTTTCTGGGTCAGATATTCCTCAAGGCTACCCTATATGGGATCTTTCCAGGTAGTAGAAGACATGCTAAACTTCTTGCTCACCTTGGAAACAGATGTACAGGTGATTTTACATGACCAGCTAAAGAATACAATTACATTAAACCTCATGTCAAGTTAATTAAGATCCTCATACAGAAGCCACCAAAATGAACCTACTCAATCAAGGAAAACAAAATTTATAAAATTAGATCAACTAATGATATATCGATCCAAGTGTTAGGAAAAAGAATTCACAACAACAAAGAGTGGAAGACATAAGAATCTTCGTGTGTAAGAGTTGATCTTTCTAGGGAATAGAAGGTGTTCGAAACGTCTTACACACCATAGAAATGTGTATATGGGAGATTTGGATGGACCAACTAGGGAGTAGGGACTATGGTTTTATACAATCTTATGTTAATAACAATCAGCATGCAAAAACCACCAAAATGAACTACCTAGCTCTGAAAAATAAAAGAAATTAGGTTAACTATATTATATAGTTTTAGTTTTGTAAAAAGGAATTCGCCAACAATAAGATCAAGTGCGGTAAACATAAGAATCCCCAAATGGATGCATTTTAAACTAAAAATTTAGGATGGAAATTTATGATATCAATGAGCCGGAGGGGGTGGCGCTCATTGATGCTAAGATGGTGAAAAATTAAATTAATTGGTTTGAGCATGTGCAATGGAGAGCAAAAGACAGAGAAATAAAACAAATAGAAAGTTAATGATTATAATGGAAAATGATAAAACCCCTGCTAGAACTTGGTGCAGTTGTGCACAAAACAGCACTCAATATCAGTGAATAGCCGAGGATTCATAAGATTACTCCAAATAGTAGAGTTTCGATAACATAAATGATTATGATGACATGTTTTACATGAACTAAGCATCCGCACATATAATTTAAATATCTGATAATTAGATTTTAAAAAGACGAGATGCTGATAGTGCACTTACACAAAACTCCTGGTACTCCACTATATTGCTAACATAATTACGACTGATTGTTACCTTCAAAATGTACCTACATGCATGAAGTAAACAATTAATATGTACAGCTAGATTATAACTTAAATGAAAAGTACAAATTACATAAGAAGCTATGCAATTGGAACAAGATGGAACAAACCCAAATTCATAAAGCTAAACTGCAAGAGGAAACATCTATTGGAAGTGGGAAAACTTTATATATGTGTGGACACGTAGCCAATAGGTACTGAACAAAATCATTTTGTAAGTACTACAAGCTCATTATAAAAAAAGCAATTCAAACCATCTAGATAGTAAGAAGCATGCAAGTTAGAAAGCATTAATAAAGAAGGGCCAACACAGTTAGAAAGACTTAATAAAGAATGGCCAACCATTAATACTGGCTCATTAAAGATAATACTTTCCTACTTAGATTTTGAGGGTATGACTTTCAAATGTAAGATCAAAAGTGTTTATTCGCCTTAACATTAATAAAACTAAAAGCCTACTTGATTTTAAAAAGATTTAAGATCATTAAACCATCAAATGCTAGAAAGGAAAAGGGTTAATAATGCTAATATTCAAGTCATTAAGGATACGTATGTAGAAGCTATTATTTGTAAGCAAACACAAGGTGGTTTAACAAAGTATTTTCCTGTTTTAGTTGGATTACATCAAGGATCAGCTTTAAACCCATATCTTTTTGCTTTAGTCATGAATGTTCTCACTAAACATTAGCAAGAGGTTGTATCCTGGTGTATGCTTTTTGTTGATGATATTCTTCTTGTTGATAAGACTAGACAGGGAGTTGAAGACAAACTTGCATTATGGAGGTCAATCTTAGAGTCTAAAGGCTTTCGTTTGAGTAGATCTAAAACTGAATATATGGAGTTTAGTAATAATAGATCTAATGGGGGGATTGTGACTTTGGGCAATCAAGTCATTAATAAGAGTATACGTTTTAGATATTTTGAGTCTATAGTTCATAGTGATCGTGAAATAGATCAGGATATTATTAGTAGAATTCAAGTTGGATGGTTGATGTGGAGGAATGCATCGGGCTTATTGTGTGATAGAAAAGTCCCTCTCAAACTTAATGGAAAATTATATAAAATGGTAGTGAGACCAACAATGCCTTATGGTGCCGAATGTTGGCCATTAAAAGAGAAGCATAATATTAAGTTAAGTGTTACAAAGATGAGGATGTTCGGGTGGATGAGTGGCTCTACTCTTAGAGACCGGATACGAAATTAGCATATACGTGAAAATGTTGGAGTAACTCCAGTGGAAAATAAGATTAGAGAAAGTCGTCTTAGATGGTTTGGTTACTTAAAACGGCGGCCTTTCGATAACCCGATTAGGAAAGTAGATGTATTAGATTTGACTTATTTTAAGAAAGGTAGAGGTAGACCTAAAAAGACATGGATAGAAAATATTAGAAATGACATTTCTTTATCAGATTTAGATAAAAATTTGACTCTTAACAAGACACAATGAAGAAAAAGGATTCATGTAGCCGAACCACATAGTGGGATAAAGACTTGTTGTTGTTGTTTAGTTTAAATTGCAGGAGAAGAACTTGCATTTTAAATACACATAGTATTTTAAATGTGATTGAATTAAACAAATTAATTGTTTATAATATTCAAAATAAGTTCGATAATTCCGATTAATGAAATATGTTAAAACAACAATACTTTTTATAACTGATTTTGCATATGTCATTTGATCATCAATATTTCACATGCTTAATGAATATTTAAATTAATAAAGAAATTATGAAACTTAGTATATATGTAATTTCAATCGAAGTTTGAAGAACAAAGAGGTGGAAAAAAAATAAGGGAAACTGTCATTCTCTGTCTAAGAGGAGAAAATTGCATTTCACGGTTTGAAGATGGTTTCTTGTTTTGGGGTTTGTTTTTTAATTGTTTCTTTTCCATACAAAACAACAATAACATATCATCATGCTTTAGAAATCTTTCGTCATTGATGCCATGCTTTGGCAACATTTCCTCATTGGTTCCTTCAAATTTTCACAAATCAATTTCCTTTGATGGATATTATTTGTAGGAAAAAGTCACATAACTCATACCCTTCAGAAATTTTACTAAACAATTTACATGCCAGTTCATTTTCAAAATAAGTTTCAATTACAAAGACAGATTTAGAATAAGCAGGTCGAAATAAGTATAACATGCATGCAACGATAGGTGTCAATCTTATTCAATAAACAATTCATGAGCATGAAACATTTTGTTACCTTAATCTCACATTAACCCCATTGTATGACTCATAAGGCATTTCAACAGTAGAGAACTCAAACGGGTATGCTTTTCTTTCGTATATCTCACCAGGAACATCTAATTCACGCACTGCTCAAGAGAATAGAAAGTGATGACCTTAAATTTAATAAAGCAAGAAAGCATATGCTTCTAAATGAACTTTTTCATAATTAAGATGAACAGACTAAAAACTAAACTGAAAAAATCACAAGAATTCTGTTACGATGTAATAAAAAAGATTTTACAGGCTAAATCTACAAAATGAATAGATTCGTTTACTAATGAGTAATGAACCGAAATCCTCATAAACAAAAGGTAGTACAACTAACTAACAGAATTTGTAATGTTAGAGAGTAAACAATGGCCATATATATTAGCATGAATATGTCAAACTGCATAAAAAAAAAAATTAAAGGCAATTATGATGATAATGAAAAAAGGATGGTCTTAAGGTTTTAGACTTGCAAGGACACTGAAATTCAAAATTTACTCATGATTCTAGAGGAAAGTAGTGAGCTGAATCAGTGACGAAAATCTTCATGAATCATTTCAGAGGTAAGCATAGTAGGGGAAAATGATAAAAAATAATAGTAAGGGAAAATGATAGACTAAAGCATGCCCGCTTAGCTGGAAAACTTAAAAAAAAAAACACTAAACAAGAATAAGTTCTAAGTACAGCTTTTAATAGGAATAAAGTGCAAAAAACAACGAATAGCAGCAGCTTTTGAAGCATTTAGTCATCAAAAACAAAATACAAGCACAACTCTTAGCAGGAATGCATAAGAAGGACATAGAAAGCCAAAACCATATATTTTGAACCGGGTAAGAATGACTGCAAGGGAAAAAGAAGCGACCTTAAATTGACAGATAAATACTGTGAAAGACCAGTGCTAGCAAATGGAGAGAGAGAAAGTAAATGAAAGATAAAAGACAAAAATTGGAGGACATTCCCCACACGCACAAAGAATTTTGTAGACATGATCACGTTCATTTAGACCGCCTTCAATCAGCTAAAGTTAAAAGATAACGTTACCCATGGACCCACCTCTCTGCATAATTGTCTGTCAAAACAAATTAAATTTATAAGATGAAATGAAGCAAAGCACAACACATTCAAAGCTCAAGACAATTAAGCACATGCAGATTTAGTGGAGCTATAATTCAGGATGTCCTTGCTAAAAAGATGAAGAGATAAAGTTTTTCATATTGGTGCCATAAACCGTAGACTGAATTCCATAAAAGAGAAACCGCAAGCATCTTGATGCAGCCAAAACGAGACTCACCAAGAGAAGTGAAGTCGTAAAAGTTGCCTCTGTCAAAATACAACTCTGCAAAAGTATATAAATAATTTTATCAAAATCTTTGCCTAAAAAAAACATTATAGAACAAAAAAGAAAAAATATGAATGCAGTCCAACAACATTCCACTTTTTTATTTTTTTTAATTTGTTTTAATTTTTTGCACTATTAGCACTTTCAAAGCTTGCTTTGGCTTGTTCAACTCCATCATCAAAAAAGTTGTATTCATGACGCCGCAACCACCCATCATCCATAATCAATAAAAATTTATGCCAACCACTTATTTTCCTATTTTTATTTCTTTTTTATAAGAACGTTATGTATGCTGAATGCATAAATCTAATAAACTTCTTCAGGCTTACTTAAAGCATGCTTGAGTAATATCAATTCCCCATGTCTAATACTTCTGTGTTCTAGACATGGTCCTCATCATTAGCTTTATACAAATCAATTGAGATTGTAATTATTAATCCTAATTTTCATTTATTAATATTGAGTGTTGTAGGTGTTGTTAAGCATATTCTTCGCAAATCATTTTTATCCATTTACTATCAGATCTTCCTTCCAAATCCTCTAACACTAATTTTATCAACTTGTCTAACCATAGCATTTACTATTTTTTACTGCACACGTCCAAACCACCTCAGTCCATTATGCACAATACAAGGCGTCATTCAACACAAAAGAAATCAAAACGATTTGAGGTTTACACCTCATATTCTTAGGCATGCCTTTTTTTCCTTTCCTTTCATGGTTTAGTTGGGGACTTAATTTCTTTAAATGTTTGCATGTGTTCAAATTTGTTTTAACTTTGAATAAAAATTTTCAATCTAGGGTTTTGTAAGAGAAATAATTAAAGGCATGCAGCAATCCAAATGGGATCATAGAAAAGATCTGGCATCGAGACATATTATTAAGGTTGAAGTTGCAGGCAACGACAAAACGTATTTTTATTTGAAGTGAAATTATTGCAAGAAAGTAGTTAAAGGGGGTGCTACAAGGATAAAAGAACAGCTCTCTGACTCGCACAAAAATATGGCATCTTGTGCCAAAATGACAGAAATAATAAAAGAAAAGATCCATTTATATATGAGCATGCCTATGATGCATAAGCATCTTGTGCAACAATAGTTTGGAGATATGGTCGATGTTAGCTCATATTATGGTAGTGGGTGTACTGGTAGGGACTTATTCTCATCCTTGCCACGATGTCTATAGAGGTGCAAGAGGTTTTATTGATCAATACATGATAAATTTGGGTGATGAGAAGTAGGGAGAGAGGGCATCTCCATTGCAGAAGATGCCTCCAGAGAATGCTAATGAGGCATGTATATGTGTTTACATATATATGCTAAGACATTCTATTTAATGTGGAAACCTTCTACTACAATATGATCCATTTCATAGACGCTTCTGGTCATGACTTGAAACCCCGACAATGTATGCATAAAAACTTGGGTTCTGAAGGAGTTAAGCAACACTGAGAAAACCATCAAGAAACTAAAAAAGACTTGAAGTCAAACTGGACTGACTATCATGTCTAGTAGCTTTTCTAACATTAGAAATAGAGCCTGATTAACAATCTAAAAAACAATCTCTATGGAATTGTTTTCTTAAAATTTATAGAAGCAACTAATCAGGTGAAGGGTGCAGACTAAATTTTTGGATAGCCTGATGGACTGATAAAAAAGATTGGAGAGCATTTGATTGTACAAATTGTGACAAATAAAGCCAATGCTTATAGGGCAACCGAGAGCAAGTTGATGGGGAAGAGAAACACCTATACTGGACACCCTGTGTCACACATTGTATAGATCACATTTAGAAAAGCTTGGTAACTTGCTTCAACATAAGAATATCCCGACCAAAACTAAGAAGATAAGCAAATTCATCAAAAATTATTCTTGGATTTTGGATTTGATGGGGTAGTTTTCTAAAAAAGAACTCATGCAACCTGCTACAACTAGATTTGTTATAGTTTATTTGATGTTACAGAGCATGCGGGAGGAAAAACAACCGTTGGGGGTTATGTTTACTTCCACTCAATGGCTCAATTGTGCTTAGGCTAAGAATGTTGCGGGGAAAGAAGCTCAAGATTATTTTGAATGAGAGATTCTAATTGAGTTTCTCATATGCAATAACAACATAAAGGCCATTGATTCAAGTTTTGTAGATGATGGGTGCAGAGAAGAGTTGATAGCCCATAACTTAGAAGGAGATGAGACAAGCTATAAAGAAATTGAGTTATCATAGCATTTGGTGTTATCATGGATCCTAGAATTAAATTTATAGTGTAGAGTTTTGATAGGTACCACTTGAATATTCCAAGTGATTCCTATCGGATCTTCGCCAAGACACGAATATTCCGCTGTTTTCAATAGAAAACAACCACCAATAGTGGAAAAAAACTGAGAAAATAGGGAGAAAACGTTGGAAAAACAATCGCAACAATTGTATTCCACTAGTAGACGATCAAAACCAAAGCAAGATACAATGTTCTTCAATTCGAGAGGAAGAACAACTCTCCCACAATCTCCGGCAACGCCAAGAGCCCAAGCAAGAAACCCTAGAACACAAAACTCTTTTCAAAAACAAGGTGAAAACCTAATTCCTCTCATAACTCCCTATTAATACAATCTAATACAAAATAAAAGCAAAAGGACTTCTCTACCCTTCCTTCTCCCTCCAAAAACACTTAAACCATGTTTGAATTTCAAGTGGACCCCACCACAGCCCCCTTTCCTCCTTCCGCCTGTTCCCTGGCCCGTCTCCGCCTGGAGAAAACCCGGACCGGCTGGGCCGGTCCAGGTTGAGCCGGTCCATGCTGGACCGGCATAACAAGTTTCCATATACATGATATATGGAGACTAAAATGGGCAAAATATCTCATATGTTTGTGTACTTTTATATGAATTGTTCAAAAGTACATAACATACTTCGATGAGGAAGCAAAAGGAGCATGTGATACATCTAGATTATGAAAAGATGCTTCAAAGGGGGAAAGTAGTTGTTCAAAAATGACTCAGGAAGGTGGTTAAAAAAAATAGTGGATGGCTTAATTTCACTGCATATGTATCTGAAAAAGCAAGTAGAAAACCTGAAAATCGGATTTAGATAATTATTTGGAAGATGGCTTGAAGATTTGTCCAGCTGGTGGACATTTGATGTTAGGGTGGTGGAAGAGCAAACAAGCGAAATACCACATATTATCAAGAATGACAGTAAAAATATTGGCAATTCCTATCAGCACAGTTGCTTTAGAATCTACATTCTCAACAGATGAGCAAGTTGTAGATACGTATCATTTTAAATTGGGTATTGAAACATTCAGGCTTTGATATGCGGTCAAATTGAGTACGTGCTCATTATGGTTTGAAGGGCAGAACGAATGTAATCATTTTTAATACTTTAGTAATTTTTTAAATGTTTTTTATCACTAACGTACTTTGCAAGAAGAGGATGACGATGAAGAAATTGAAATATCAATACCATGTATTTAAGATGATTTTAATGATAAATTACTTCTTTTTAAATTTTTTTATGATCACAACTAAAGTGAATTGATTTAATAATTTGTCTTTTAAAAAAAATGTATACATTTGTGAGAAGATATTAAAGGCCTGAAGAAGTAAACTTCTGTAATATCTTATTGATTATTTCATTAATGTATTTTTCATTATCTTCAAATTTTGGTAAGCTTTCTAATGCTCTTGTTATCAATTGCAGGTTAACAAAGGTGAAGAATGATTTGAGATTTTTTTTGTTGAATTTGTAATGTTCTAATTTCATATATGTAATTTGAACTTTATAAGGACTATTTATTTATTTATTTATTTATATATACGGACTATTTGTAGTTGTATATTTAAGGTGTTTAGTTTAGATTATATAACAATGGTCATCTTTTTTATGAATAATGATTATATAACTATTGATAAAGTTGGTTGGCTTATCAATGATTATAGTTTATATCATAATGGTTATGTCTGATTTAGTTGTATGGATATTTGATTACCATGAGGAATGAACCATTTTTGTTATTATGATTTGTTAGGGGTGTTAATTTTGGGTCATGGGTCGGGTTCAACTGACTCGACATTATTCGGGTCAACCTGAACCCGACTCATTTTAGCAAACGGGTCAGTTTTTCGGACCCGAACCTGACCCGCTTCGGGTCTGGGTCAACCCGACATGACCTGAATGACCTGGTGCAAACTGCTAGTTTTTTGGTTCAAAAACAGGTCAATCTCCACTTTTCGGGCCAAAAAATGGTTAAAAATGGGTCAATTTTAGGTTGCCGGGTCAAAAAAGGGTTTTCAGATAAAAAAAGGGTTTTCGGATAAAAAACGGGTCAATTTCAGGTCGAAGGGTCAACTCGAATCCGACATGATTTTTGAAACAGGTAGAATTGTTGAACCCGAACCCAACCAGTTTCGAGTTCAGGTTGACCCTAACCCGAAATTTTTGGGTCGGGTTTGAGTCTCGTCTTCGGATCGTGTCAAATATTGACACCCCTATGATTTGTGATTGACTTATGAATAATATGCGTTTTGAAATAATTTGGTTATTTTCAATGCCTTAATATTATATATTATATATATGTCATTATAATTTTTTAAGTAACTTATCAATAATGTGCTTTTTATGATAAAAAATTTATAAAAAAATATTATTTTTATGGTGAAAATTAAAAAAAAACATTCAATTAGAACTGTAATCGAGCATGTACTCGAGTCGAGCTCGAGCTCGAGCTCGAGATGACGAGCCGAATTCAAGCTTGGGATTTGGACACACGAGTTGAGATCGAGCTCGAGCAGCCTACACAATTAGCGAGCCAGGCTCAAACTACATCTGGCTTGAGCTCGACTCGACTCGTTTGCACCCCTAATGAAATAAAAGGAAAAGGAAATTTTGATCAATATTGCTAAATATGCATGTTAATAAACCCATTGGTGTTAAACATGGAAAAAATAGCCTAGCATAATATGACTACTTGCATGGCTTCCAAAAGAGGGTTTGAGCACTTGTAAAGGCGTCACTTTTCATGTCGTCAAAAAAATTGAGCAAAAAATATTCGAAACATATTTAAAGCATAGAAATTGCCAGTTAAGCATAAATTTCATTAGCATATTTAAATTAATCTATGCATAGAGAAAACATGGGATTTTTTTCCACCTTTATGAGTTAATAATTAAAAACAATCACAACAAATATTCCATCAAGCAACATATGAAACTTGGCTGGCCATCTACATTCGAAAAGCAATGGATTAGGAAGAAGAGAGAAGAAAAGTAATACCTATCTGACCAAGAAGCTCAACCTTAACACCAATATGCTCAACCTTTTTTCCATGAAAAGGTTCAATGGATACCTGCATAAAAAGGATAACGCAATAAGAGCATATGGTGTTCTGAAAATTAATTTACCACCTTTATAAAAACTAAAAAAATAGTATTGGTATGCAGTGTGGGAAGGGGTTTGATTCAAAGAACCTCTCCCGCTATTGTTTCTTGACTTTGGAAGAGAGGAACCATCGTTGTCTGGCCATTTTCCTTTTTTATTGAAACCTAATAAAAGAGCATTGAGAGTTTAAAAAAAGGTCCATTCAGCTGTCAGACTATAGGTGGTTATTTCCCCGCTTTAAATTATCAAAACACAAAACTAATGTCTAAAAGCAACCCTGTTCAAAAATAGGTGAAATTGAAAAAGAAATATTCATTTGATGTGAAGCTCCCAAACAATTTGAGTTGCATCATAATTCAATTTGAGTGCTTCGTAATGAGGATGGCAATGTTTCATTTCATTTTGCATTTTAGAACATTTGGAAGGTTGTGGAAGTGCGAACCTCAACAAATGTGTTTAGGCCAGAGAAAACAATAGTCTGCTATATGGATCATAGTTTTATAGGCACATGAACCTAGTGGCAGCGTACAAGCTTAATCATATAACCCAGTGGTACCACTAAGAAAGTACTCAAAACGGTGAGGCCCATTCTATAGATTGGAGCCTAATCTGTGAGTTCATCAAATTTTATTAGTATCAACATGTCTTAATAACAAATGCAAACCAAAGCCCGATTATCTTTAAAAGTAATTAAAAAAAAACTACAGCCTTATTTTGGTGTCTAATCATTTTCAAATCAGCCACCTTAATAATGGAAAAAGCTAGAAAAAAAAAACAAAAGAACAAGGTCCTCCATAAATGGAAAGGATAATTTGACTTGGAATAAATTAATTTGGGCATGCTTTGTTGATAGAAAAGGTGTGAAGGGATGCAACAACAACAATCCTTTATCCCACTACATGAGGTCAGTTATATGAATTCTTTTTCTCCAGTGTTCTATTATGAGTCAATTTTTCATTTGAAGTAAAAAATAATAATAATAAGCAAAGATTATGTTGATCAAAGCTACAAAGTTGCCAACACAATGATTTATGTAAAAGTAAACTCCCATTATGGATTTTAGTAAGAATGAATTTCAATGAAGAAATTATAAAGCCAGCTCTATTAACTGTGACAACAATCATGAAGCTTTGTGAAAACAACTAAAATCATACTTATTATGAATATTTTTGCTTATAATTTGTCGCTGTATGTTTAAGCTAAATAAGGAATTAGAATGTTAAACATATGAATATAATAGTGCAGAACTATGAGTTCAAGCTCACCTGCTTTCGTGTTTTGGAATCAGAAAACGTAATCTTAATGTTGCATGGGGACTTGAATGCTCCAATAAGGTAATTCTAACCCAAAAAAAAAAAAGGAACGTCAACTAACAAACCATCAAAATAAATTGTCAGATTGTATGGAGCTAAATAAATAAGAATCTTTAGTTAAGTACTAAATTTGAATCTTTCATTAAAGAGCACCATAAAGAGCATAGAGTAGATAAAGTGTGCTTAGGATTTTAACTATCGCTACGTTAAATGAATTTAGCATAACAAAGCCAGTAAATAACTAATATGATAACAACATATTAAGGTTTTACTAAGAAATTATATATTAAAGTTCCAGCTTTTATCATCTAAAACATACCATGCCATCCCAATCCCAAGTATTAAAGTTAGTTTCTATTTCTTTGCACTGCCATGTGAATGTGAGTTCAAGTTTCTAGAACTGAAAAGATCAATGAAATTGTTCACAAAATGAAAGGATAATTTTCAATTCTATTCACATTGAGACAATATTAAATGCAACATAAGTAGCCATATGGCCACTATATTTCCATCATCCAACCTTTCATGCTTTATTGAAGTAACACTATACTGCTAAACATATTAGGTTTAGATAGACCTCACAACAACCAATTAGTAAAGCACGCTATACTAATCTATCATTGGAACCTTGGTGTATGTTAGCTAAGAAACTATCAAAATAAATTGTCACATGGCATGGGGAAAAAGAAGAAACAATCTTTTATTGACTAGTGAATTGGAATCTTCCATCAAATATTACAGTTGTGTGTCAAAATATTCATGATGGTAAAGAGAGAATGTATGTCTTTGCAAAAGATAAGAGAGGATCTTAATTTCATTAAATTGGGATCTTAGAATTCTATAAAGATCCAGCACACATATATATAAAAAAATTGTTGTATGAGATACTAGAATTACTTGAAACCTTGAAAAGGGAAACCCACAAGGCCTGACCCAATTAAAATGATACCACTGATGTATGTCGCTAGATGATGCCCTCTCTTATAATTGGGGAACAATTGATACAATGTAGTAACTATTAACTACATATGATTGATTTTGCATTTGAAATTGTAAGAGCATAAGGCGTTGAAGTTAACTTCAAGAAATCATTTGTTTTATGTTTGGTGGCTCTACTTTAAATAGAGGAGACTATAGAGAAATAGGTTCAGTATAAATCTTAATCCTAACATTGGGAGTTAGGGTTGGCGTCGATAGTCTGCATTCACCTTATAGGCATAGTGTGCATTGATGTTGGAATCAAAAAAGCTAGCGAGTATTGGCTTTTATGATGAGATGTGTATCAACATTATACAGGATGGTGTGCGCCAGCATTGTTGATGATGATAGGTGACAAAATCAGTGAGTGTTGGTATTGATGTTGATGGTGTGCATCGATCTTACAGGAGATGATGTGGGTCTACAATGTTGGTGACGGAGGACAACAAAGTCTGTGGGCGTCAATATAATCAGGCAACAATAGTCAAAGAATCATATTCAGGCGATGGTGGCTGGAGAATCGTAGTTGGGAAGAATCATAGTCAAGCAACAGTAGCCAGGAAATCATAATCGAGCAATTATGGTCGAAGGACAGCAAGTGGGCGCTGGTAGTCGAAAGACTATATTCAGGCTACAATGGTTGCAAGACTGTAGTTGGAAATAGTGTTCAAACGAACATAATCTCGAGGAATGGTAGTCAGAGAACCATAGTCAGACAATAGTGGACGGAGAACTGTAGTCAAGCGATAGTGATCAAAGAGCCATAGTCGGGCGACATTAGCCAGAGGATTGTAATAAAACAATGGTGGTCAGAAGACCATAGTCAGTTGAAAATGATCAAAGGATCATAATCGGGTGACAATGATCTAAAGCCTATAACCAAGTGATGGTGGCCAGAGAACCATAATCGTACAACAGTAGTTAGTCGTAGGGCCATAGTCGAGCGATGACTGTCAGAGGATGATAGTTGGGCAACAAAGGACAAACAGGCTTAATCAAGTGATGGTGGTCAGCAAACAACAGTCAAGAGACAACAGTCGAGCGGTGGGCGTCGAAAGATCATATTTAAGTGATGGTGGTCAGTATATTAAAGTCAGTTGACAATAATCAAATAATCATATTCGGCTAATAGTGGTCGGAGAATCGTAGTTGAGCGACAATAGCTGAAAGACCATTGTTAGGCAATGATGGCTAGAAGAATGTCGTTATGCAATGGTGAAGATAGTCATAGAATCGTAGTTGAGCGATGATAGTTGGATTGTAGTCACATGATCAAGATCAGGAGACCATGGTCGAAGGACAGTGGTTGGAGGGCTATAGTCATGGTCGATTGGCCATAGTTGGGAGACCATGATCAAAGAGTTGTAGTCAAGAAATGGTGATTGGAGGGTCATAGTTGGGCAATAGTGATAAGAGGAACATAGCCGGACGATTGTGGTTAGGGGATTGTAGTCGTGCAATGGTGATTGATGCATCAATGACGGGTGATGGTGGTCAGACAACCGCAATCAAGTGGCAATAGTCAGAGGATTGTAGTTGAGCGATGATGGTAAAAAGAACATGGTCTATTGGTGATCAGATGATAGTCTGATGTCCATGGTTGTAAATTGAGTAATGGTTCAACGGTGGTTAGAAGGTGCTCTAACGGTGGCATTGAAGTTAACTTCAAGAAATCATTTGTTTTATGTTTGATCGCTCTACTTTGAATAGAAGAGACTAAAGAGCAATAGGTTTAGTAAAAATATTAATCCTAATGTTGGGAGTCAAAGTTGGGGTTGATAGTGTGCATTCACCTTAAAAGCAATGACGTGCATCAATGTTGGCGCAAAAAAAGCCAATGAGTATTGGCCTTTGTGATGAGATGTATCAACATTATACATGATGGCATGCGTCAACATTATTGACAATGATAGGCGACAAAATCAGTGAGCTTTGGCATCGATGCACACTCCTGTAATGTCGATGCATACTATCGGGCGACAATAGCCAAAGAATCATAACCAGGCAATGGTGGCTAGAGAATCGTTGTTAGGCGGAGATGGTTGAAGGATTATAATCAAGAAACAATAGCCATTAAATCATAATCGAGCAATTATGGTCGGAGGAGCGCGGGTGGGCAATGGTGGTCGGAAGACTATATTCAGGCTACTGTGATTACAAGATTGTAGTTTTGGGTGGTGTTCGAAAGACCATAATCAAACAATGGTATCCAAAGGGCCATAGTCGGGGCAATAATGGACAAAGAACAGTAGTTAAGCAATAGCGGTCAAAGAGTCATCATAGGGAGACATTGGCCGGAGGATCGTAGTCAAACAACGGTGGTTTGAAGACCATAATTATTTGACAATGATCGAAGGATCATTATCGGGCAACAATGATCTAAAGGCTATAATCAAGTGACGATGGTAAGAGAACCGCAATCGAATGACAATGTTCATAGGGCCATAATCGAGCGATAACTTTCAAAATGATACTCGGTCAATAAAGGCCAAACAAGCTTAATCAAATGATGTTGGTCAACAAACAACAATCCAGAGAGAGTTGTCGGGCGATGGTGGTCGAAAGATCATATTTAAGCGATGGTGGTCGGTGTATAAAAGTTAGTTGACGATGATCAGACAATCATAGTCGGTTGATGGTGGTCGGAGAATCGTAATTGAGCGACAATATCCGAAAGGCCATTGTTAGGCGATGGTGGCTGAAAGAATGTCGTTAGGCAATGGTGAAGATAGTCGAAGGATTGTGGTGGGCAATGATAGTTGGAGGGCTATAATTATGCGATAATGATCGAGAGACCGTAGTGGAAGGACAGTGGTTCGAGGACTGTATTTAAGCGACCATGGTCAATGGGCCATAGTTGGGAGACCATGGTCGAAGAGTTGTAGTCAATGGTTGTTGGAAGGCCATAGTTGAGCAATATTGATAAGAGAACTATAGTCGAGTGATTGTGATTAGAGGACTGTAGTCATGCGATGGTGTTCGATGGATCAATGTTGGGTGATGTTGGTCAAACGACCGTAGTCAAGTGGCAATGATCAGAGGATTGTAGTCGAGTGATAATGGTAAAAGTATCATGGTCTATTGATGATCTGATGATGATAGTCCAACATCCATAGTTGTAAATTGAGTGGTGGTCCAACGATAATGATTAGAAGGTGCTCTAACGATGGCATTAAAGTACACTTCAAGAAATCATTTGTTTTTTGTTCGGTCGCTCTACTATGAATAGAGGAGACTAGAAAGCAATAGGTTTAATATAAATCTTAATCCTAACGTTGGGAGTCAGGGTTGGCGTCAATAGTGTGCATTCACAATAAATGCAATAGCGTGCATCGATGTTGGGGTCAAAAAAGCTAGCAAGTATTAGCCTTTATGATGAGATGTGTATCAACATTATACATGATGGTGTGCATTAACATTGTTAACGATGATAGGTGACAAAATCAATTAGTGTTGATGTTGATTTCAATAGTGTGCATCGACATTACAGGAGATGATATGCATCTACGATGTTGATGATAGTCGACAACAAAGTCGGTAGGTGTCAATATAATCGAGCAACAATAGTAAAAAAATCATAGTCAGATGATGGTGATCGGAGAATTATAGTTGGGCGGAGGTGTCTAAAGGATCATAGTCAAGCAGTCAAAGCAAGGAAATCATAATCGAGCAATTATGGTCAGAGGACCGTAGATGGGCAACGATGGTCAGAATATTATATTCGGGCTACAATGGTTGCAAGATGATAATTGGGGATATTGTTCGAAAGGCCATAGTCGAGCAATGATAGCCAGAGGACCATAGTCAGACAATAGTGGCAGGAGAATCGTAGTCAAACGATAGTGGTCAGAGAGCAATGATCAGGCGACATTGGCCAGAGGATCATAATCAAGTAATGGTAGTCTGGAGACCATAGTTAGTTGATAATGATCGAAGGATCATAATCAGACGACAATGATCTAAAGGTTATAATCATTTGACGGTGATTAAAGAACTGTTATCCTACGACAGTGATTGTAGGACCAAAGTTGAGCGATGATTGTTAGAGGATACTAGTCAGGCAACAAAGGCCAAATGGGCTTAATAAAGTGATGGTGGTCAGCAAACAAAAGTCCAGAGACAGTAGTCAGACGGTGGTGGTCAAAAGATCATATTCAAGTGATGGTGATCAGTGTATTAAAGTTAATTGATGATGATCAGCGAATCATAGTTGGCTGATAGTGGTCGGAGAATTGTAGTTGAGGGACAATAGCCGAAAGACCATTGTTGGGCAATGGCAGTTGGAAGAATGTCGTTAGGCAATGGTGAAGATAGTCGTGGGATCGTAGTTGCACAATAATAGTTGGAGGACTGTAATCACGCAATCATGATCGAGAGACCGTAGTCAAAGGATAGTGGTTGGAGAACTGTGGTCAGGACAAGATTTAAAAAGGCAATATCAAGAATCGAGGAGTTTTTCCTTAGTGAGGCAACATAAACCTCAAGGTGGATCGAGGCATAAGCCTCAAAACGGAAAAATTAAGTACTAAAAAAATAATAAATAACTCAAAAAAAAATAACAAAATATTAAATAAATTATAAACATAATGACTTGTTTGAAGATAAATATTACTGGAACAAGATTCAAAATAAATACTCACAAAAATTACTCTTTTCTCCATCAACCCAATTTTAGCCCATCTAAATGATGCCTCAATAAGATTCAATCATAAAAATAATAAAAACAAAATCTTGATTTGAAGGCAATTCAACCATATAAATTTGAAAAAAAAAAGGTTAAAGCTACAGTAGATACAATTCAAACGAAAAAGAATTATTCGTGGTGAAATTCATTCAAAAATGTGCTATTGCAATTAAAAAAACCCTAGTAGCTAAAAATTATATATTCGTAAAGAAGAAAGCTATAGCAAATATAATTTATACATCATTGCTTAAAAACTATGAAAAAGAATTATCTGTGGTGGCCAACTGATTACTTTAGGCTTGACCTGAACTAGAAAAAGCAATATAGTAGGATGAAATTGTTAAACTTTAACAAATATAAATTAAGCTGATATAACTTCAACATAAATGCCTCATGTAAGAAATGCACATCATAAATTTCATAATTGCTTCTCACGAAGTTGTCGAAGCCTACATGGGCTCAAAAGGGAGGATGGATAGTTGCCTCATCACGAAGAACTCGTCTTGACACAAAGCGAGGCTGAAGCGATCGAGGACGAAGCAGGCGAGGCCGAAACAGTTGAGGTCAAATTAGTCGAGGCCGAAGCAGTGCACATGAAGCTAAGAGAGTGTTTCCTTCGTTGCGAGCTGCAAAAGGGGGGAGAAGATTGGAACAAATGTTTCAAATCGATGAAGCACTAAATCTAATAAGCATTTTCGATTCTTTCGAACTAAATAAATAAATAAAATTGATCGATGCAGTGGCTCAAATTGCCTCGAGGTGTACGCCTCAAATGCCTTTTTAAACCATGAGTCAGGCGACTGTGGTTGATGGGCCATAATTGGGAGACCATGATCGAATAGTTGTAGTCAAAAAATAGTGGTTTTAGGGTCATAGTTGGGCAATAGTGATAAGAGGATCATAGTCGAGCGATTGTGGTTAGAGGATTGTAGTCATGCGATAGTGGTCAATGGATCAATGTCGGGCGATGGTGGTCATATGATCGTAGTCGTGCAGCAATGGTCAGAGGATTTTAGTCAAATGATGATGCTAAAATGATCATGTTCTATTAGTGATCAGACGACAACAGTCTATCGTCCATGGTTGTAAATTGAGTGGTGGTCCAACGGTGACGGTTATAAGGTGCTCTAATAGGGGCAATCGGGGGATTGTTTGATAATGGCGATCAAGCAATGGTTCAAATGGTGATTGGGTGGTCCGGCGATGATCCGATAGCGAAGGTCAAGTAGTGTTTCAATGGACAATTGGGCTATGTTATGACAGTGATGTTCGGGTGATGTTCTGATGTCGGTGGTTAACAACGATGGTTGGGTGGTGTTTTGACGGCGTTGGTTCGACTGTAGCGATCAGGCGATAGCCCGAAGGTGGCAATCGAGCCATGATCCAACAACAGTGATCAAGTCGAGCTATAGGTTTCTTTAAACCCCTAAGTCTCTCTATTCTCTCGTCCCAAGTCCACCTTCATGTAAAGGGTTTAGATCTATTTATATATTTTAGAGTGACACACTTCATAAATATAACCAAAATCTTATACATTCCATCAAATGGCCCGTATTGATTCCCTTAATCATAGATTGTTCTTTTAGTATTTAAGTGTATTAATAATGAAAAATTTTAGTGATCTTAGGCTAGTTGGATTAGTCCCATCGAGGCACTCAATTTGAATATAAGCATGCAAGATTTGGAGATTATTTGTCCCTCTATTAATGTCATAAAGTTTTTAATCAAGTTTCAAGTGCATGATATGAGCTCATCTACGCTTGGATCGGATCGGTGTCATTGGGTGTGTGTCAGTGAGAAAGTTAATTTGACGATATGTTTGCTGAAATCAAAGTTTGGATGATCTACATTTGAATTTGAAAGTTTCCACTTTCCAAGTCTGATAAACAACGAGATTCATGCATGATCAAGTGGATTTTCTGGTTACAGATCAATCACAACAAAGAACTTACAGTGGATATATTGTGCTTCAACTTGTATGTATCATTGATTTAAATGAATTCAACCAAAAAAAACCAGCTTTCAGCTAAGATGACGGAAACATATAAATTCTTCACTAATAAATTATAAATGAGTTGCCAGCTTTTTCATCTAATACATGTGTTTTATCCAACCCCAACAATTAAAGTTAGTCTCTATTGATTTGCACATTCAGAGAACGTGAACTCTAGTTTCTAGAATATAAATTACCGGATAACTCTCAACTCTATTAACAACGAATCAAGACTTAATGCAACAGAAATAGCTATATGGCAATTTAGATTTCTATATTCAGCCTTTTTTGTGTTGAACAATGCATATACTGCTAAACACATTAGATCTAGATAGACTTCAAGAAAACAAGCATAGGAGCATCACCAACCACGCTACACCAATCTATAACTGAGCAACATTATAAAGATAAGCAAAAGAAAAAAAAAAACTCACCATAGTCGCAGAATGAGTTCAGGGGACTTGATGCTATACCAGCACACAACGATGGAGCTAACGGGTTCTGTAAGAGAAATTTAACAGTGACAAAGTTAGTCCAAGTCACAAATAACGCAGACAGAAATTGTTCTAGCCACCATGACAGCGTTCTTATCACCAACCTCCGGAATTAGAAGGAAAAAAAAAAAACATTTCTAATCCAATGGCCGTTCATCACAATCAAAGTTCCCGCAAATCTTTATCGTGTTCACAAACCCAAACCCCGCTAGTGCATCAAACCCTAACCTGAAATGCGAGATTGGGGAGCGCCCCAGACGGATCGAGGGATCGATAGGCCCTAGGACACGACCATGGAAACAACGGCTGAAGATGCCAGCTTAGGTGGAAATTAAAGGAACCGAAGAAGATAGCAGACAAAGCAAGGAGATCACTAATGAAACCTGGACGGAAGCCAAGGGGCTGGTTCGATACAGGATTTATGCTAAATCCTGCGGAACGGGATTTAGGGAAATATTAAATCTCATGGCGAGTTAAATCTTTTTGCCGTCAATCCTACTAAAATCCAGGAGTTCGGCACGATTACGGGATTTGGCCTAGGAGCACGCTAAAGGGAGAACGATAGGTTACCTTCGCAGCGAGCGAATCCCGTTTTGACTTCCAATCCGACGTCGTCGAAGGAGGCGCAGCAGCTTCTTTAGCCACTCGTTCAAAGCGAAACACGCGAAGCCGAAGCAGCAACGAAGAAATGGCCACGACGAAAAGCAAACCGCAGCATACGAAGGCCGAACGACGTACAAATGGAGAAGTGGAATCGCACAATCCTACTCTAATATCGCCGGCGCTCACAGCTTGGTGAAGAGAAAGGGATCGAAAGGAAGCTTTAAATTTACGAAGGGAACAGATCATTCTTTACCTTGATATGGCAGGAAATGTTCTGATTTCTGATCGCTTGCAACGACTGCCGTAGTCTCTGGTTCAACCGAGACCAGGATCCATCACCCTGTCGCGTCGCAACTAAAAATAATAATAATAATAATTTTCAAATATAATTAGGGTTGTAAGTTGTAACCGTGTAAGTAAGGGCATCTCCAACCAAAAACTTCATTTTTCACGGCAAAGTAACGCAAAACTCCAAAATGGCGCGGTGATGTTCCAATCGAACGCCATTTTAGGTGTTTTTGAGAAGTTAACGATCGCTCTCCCTTTCGCGCGTTTTCCGGTTGAGAGCAAAAAATGGCGTGAGTGAACAGTGTGACGCAAATATTGGAGTCGCACTGTTCACCTGCGATTAAATGGCGGAAATTTTCGCGTTCGGTTGGAGCGACGGAACGACTCCATACACTCGTTTAGCGTTCGGTTGGAGATGACCTAAGCTCAAGCTCGACTGGTTAATGAGCTCGTGATTTGAGTTTATAGAACCACGAGCTTAATGAGGCTCTGCTCGTAAGCTCGAGTGCCGACTAGAATCACTAATTAATATTTTTTAAAATAATTTGTATGTATGCATTAAATTTAAAAAACTCGCAATATTCTCGTGGGAGCTCACAAGTCGGAACTAGGCGGGCACGCATGGGAACTCGTAACAAGGATGAAAACGTGAAGGCGGATGACGGGGAAGATCAATACATTTGAGGTGATTGTAATTTTTTTGTAAAGATTATTTAAAGGTTATTATGGAAAATATAATTTTTTTAAATATTAGTAGATTTAAAAAAAAAATAGAATAAATGATGGGTCTAGTTCTAAAAATCATCTTATCACTATTGATTTTTTTTTTTAATAATAACTAGATAGAAATGTGGCAACGGTGTGAAAAATAAAGCAATGAAAAAGCTACCTCAACCTTGAACTTGGCTTTTGCAATATTGTGTCAACTTTTGTAATTTAAGGTTTCGTTTGGGACAAATTTCTTAATGTTTTCTAAAGCATCTTTCTAATACAAAAATTCATTGGAACATATAGATGTTTTATAAAACAATAAGAAAGTTGTACCAAACGAAACCTACTTCTTCTCCTCCTAGTCTTTTTTTAGGTGTCTTAGACATATTTAAATTTTATAAATCATTGATATAACCAATATCTAGCAAAAATAATTAAATATGATACATATTGAAATATATTCATTCACCAAAATTTCATTTATGCTTGTCAAAAGATTACTAACAATCGTCAATCTATTAATAACTCTTGACTTCAAAGGAATAAAAGAAAATGCATAAAAAAATCAAAAGAACTTGAAAATCTTAATTAGTCTCAGTGTAATTGGTCATAACCCCTTCCTTGACCTAAAATCAATAAAATCTACATAATGAGCTAAAAAGCTCAACAGTAACTCAAATTCACTAAAGGTTTTAATGCGAAACTCAAGAATCAATATGCATGTTCATCTCAATTCATAAAATCAATATTATTCAATATCATCAATGATCAGTCACCACTAATATGACCCAATATGATCACTAATAAAAAGCATGAATCATTACACTTAAATCCATAAATGAACATATGTGTGAGACTATAAATATATCGGTAATCAATAATAGTAATCAGTATAAGTATTAGTAGAACAATAAAAGCTATAGAATAAAAAATTTGTATAATAAAAAGAAACTCATTAGTACTGAAACTATATTTGAGTCTATAAATGAATCATAAGTATACGAGTGTCATTGTCATCAGTCTTATCTATCTTATTTATTATACAATTAATATATGTATTTATACACAAGTATATGGTAGCAAAATAGGACATCCAGCTTTAATGTGATATTTTGATCCCTTCATCCATATTTATAATTACATCAGTATATCTTTATTATTTATTTTCATCTTTTATCATTATTATTACATGTAACTTTCAATAATCATTAAGAGTCCTCACTTTCTACCCGTTAGTGTAATTCGATCATATGTTACAAATTACAATTGAGATAATACCAAAAATCATCTTTTAAGGAAAGTATGTATGCCCACCCTTCTGCATAGGGTATTATGTTTTAACAGTCAACCTATTTATAATATTAACAATCAGTCTTCGTTGCTTATACAAATGCCACAATCAATTGTATCAATTCATCTTTAATGTATGAATTGCACTGTAATATATAAAATGCAACATGAAATGCTCAATTATGTTAAATGCAAAAATATAGATATTGTGACCTAAAATTTTAAAAAAATCACAACTTTTATTTTATCTTATGAAATTCAATAATATTAAAGTCAAATGTCTACAGTATTCATATATATTATATACAAAAAGTTACACGATAAAAATGTGATAAATCAGGAGAAAATATAGTTTTATCAATTTAGCAGAAATAAATCTGTCAAACTCAAAATCATGAAAATTTAAAATGAGATTTAAGTTACTTACGATGGTCAAAAGAAATCTATGAATAAAATCGACAGATAAAATTTCTCTGAACACCTTTCCCTCTCCTCCCTCTCTCTTCCTTCTTCTCTCTTTCCCTCTCTTCCTTGTGCGCCAAACTTCGACTAAGGGAGTGGCTTAAGAGTGAATGCTTAGAGTTTAGAATTAAATATATATAAAAATATTGTTAGTCACCTAGTACCACAGCTGTCACATCCCAACATCAAAGTGTAAGAATCTTTTCTATTCTCTTATATATATCACACACACAATAATCATTCATTTATCAACAAGATCAATACATACATCTAGAGCTTATTAATTGTAGTTAAAAATCAATAAAATATGAAAAATATAATTCACATAACTACTCTTAATAATTACAATTTACAACCAAAGTCAAAAATAAAATATATATGTAAGAGCAGGACTGGCTACAAATAAATACATAAACCAAAATCTAATATAAAAACTATACTAGCCTCAGCACACAACCTCAAGCTACAGGCTTCTTACATGAAATCATTTAAAATCACATAATGAGCATAAAAAAGCCCAGTAATTAACAAAAACTATATCACTGCTTTTAATATAACACAAAATAATCAATATATTTGTTAGTTAATATCAATCGATAAAAATTTAATATGTTAGAGTCAAAATGTTCATATTTACAAGATGTACCACATAAAAAAAATTATGCGGTAAAAATTTTACTAATACAAACTTATTTTTATTTTTTGATAACAAAAATCAAAATTTAATCAGGAAAATATCAAAAATATAAAATTATTGAAAACTGAAATAGGTTAACTGTTCCTTATAACTAGAGGTGTGAAAATTTAACACAACCCAAAACCCGACTTGGACCTAACATAGAAAATTTCAGGTTCGAGTCAAACCATTTACCATACGGGTCGGGTTCGGGTTCAGGTTCGGTAATCTGACATGATTATAAATCCAGGTTTGTTTCAGTTGATCTGAAAATAAAAAAAATGACCTGGAAAGCCGTTCACCCATCGCCTACCTGTTTGCCCTGGCAATGTGACCACGGTCGTTGTCGCCTCGCATGCCTGTGGCATCAGTGGCTCACCTACTCCTTCGTCCCTCCATCCACTCTGCACCTCTCTCGTGAGCTACAAAGTGCATATAGCAAACCGACAAACCCTCCATCTCCATCACCAGTTGCGCCGACGAAAGCGGGAAGCTGCTGCCGTACGTGATGCAGATTTAGCCGATGCGGTTGCCGTTGGCTTCCCGGATGTAGACGCGACGTCGCCACCCTCACGGCTCAACCGCTCAAGTGCTCGACCTCACCGCTCACCTAGTAGTGTGCCATCACACTCGCCCATTTTTTAATCAAAACAAGTTCGCATGTCGGGTATGGGTTTAAATATATACCTGTCACATTTGCAGAAAATGTGTCAGGTTTGAGTTGACATGTTTAGATCCATGTCAACTCAGGTTCACCCCGAGTCTGACCCATCAACTCGTTTTGAAACCCCTACTTACAACAAGATGAATACTTTTTTCAATGAGCTCAACGAACAAAAATCGCTCTACGGCCTCTGAATGTAACTTTCTCTTTTCTTTCTCCTCAAAATTCTCTCTAATTTCTCTAAATCATTCTATGTTAGCTATTAAAAAGCATTTTAATGGATATAGTAGTGACTTAGGATATTTTATAATAAAATAATAATATAATAATTAATATATTTATATAATTTAATCAATTTTCAGCATAAAATTCATAGAAATCATTTTGAAACCTTAAAAATTATAGAAAATTATTAATAAAATAAATCATTTTATTAAGAAAATATTGGTGAAATCGATTTGCGAAATGGACACCTGATCGTCCTAAAATTCTCATTTGTGCCGATATGTGTTAATTTATTAAGGATTTGCACTAGCGCCCAAAAATGTTATGACAAAGACGGTTTTCAAATTTGACTTAAAATGACTCCTAAAAAATTTTATTTTACTATGTCAAAATACAGGCTATTACAGCAGCGCAAAATCTAGAATTAGTATAGAACATAGCGTCAAGTGTCGCAGCAACTGCAATTTTCGACGCCACTGTGCTCTCAAACATAGCGCCACATCGCTCCAAAGCACAGCGCCTCCGCGCTCAACTTCAAATAGAAATTCATTTTTTTTTTAACTCTTTTCATATTTTCAGGTTTACAATGCATTTGCTAAATATTGAACTTTTTCATTGTTGAGATTCATTTTCAACTTTTGAATCGTGTTTCAATTCTTGGGAATTTCTTGAATGAGTTGTTTTTATGTGATTATTATGTTTTAGTTTGAATCCTTTGGTTTGGTTACATATTTCAATCTTAAGTCTCCTAACATGTAACAATAGTTGAAGGTAATGAAGAGAGAGAGAGAGAGAGAGAGAAAGAGAGAGAGAGAGAGAGAGAGAGAGAGAGAGGTATGGGAGAAAATAAATAGACATGTTTTTATGTTTGTTTGTCATAGTGATCACTGTGTTTTTTATTTGAATGAAAATCATATTGACTTTTATTTTGTATTTTTATTATATTTGTTTCAATTGTAGTGCTACTCAATTATTAACTTGAAGTGTTTATCTGTAATATATATTGTGTTTTGCTATGGATAT